GAATCCTTGAAACAATTACAGACTTTTAAATCGAATGTGTGCGGCGCTCAGGCGAGAGCCCAATTTTGAAAAAAAACTCGCCCTCCGTCCTTGAAACGGTTGCACAATTTTGAAACGAACATGTGCGGCGCTAAAGCGAGGACCACATTTTGAAAACCAGTCACCCTCCATCCGTGAAGCTGTTGCAAGCTTTGATAAACAGTGTGCGCGGCGCGTAGGCGAGACACATCTTTTGAAAACGATCCGCCTTCCATCCATGAAGCTGTTGTAAGCTTCAAGCTTCAAGATTATACATGTTCAGGAAGTCTGAAGCGAAACGCACGGCCCGCCCTACCGCGACATCTAAGGATGCGACAGGGAAGAGTTATTCATAAGGCACAAAAATGTGGGAGGAGGACGAAGGGAAGGAGGGAGGAGCGAGGAAGGAAGGAAGAAGGGAGGGAGCAGGAGGAGGAGGAGGAGGACAAGGAGGAGGAGGAGTCTTGGCAATTAGAGGAAGTGAAGAAGTACATCGCTGCCATCCCAAGTGCTGAGTGCTGAGAAGGTCATCCTGGCTCAGTGCGGTTTCGGTTGTGTTCATCAGAAGCCGAGTACGTTTCGGACCGTGTGTGCCCCCACTCTGGGGCGGAGGGTTAGGGCGAGGCCTGGCAAGGACGGCGCGCTCACAGGAGAGGCCACCAGACGACGCTCCGGACTGACACGTTTGGGGGGGCTTCGGACCTGAACCCTCAAGACTTACCCACTTAGCTATGCAATTTTCTAGCTGAATGTGTGTGTGTGTGTGTGTAATGATTTGAACGTTTGGACCCCGGCGGGGACAGCACGTTGAGGTGCCCACCCCTCCAGGCCCAAGGCTGTTGTGTGCCGCTCCATCCGTGCTTCAGCTTCCACAGGAATCACGACTGTTCAGGGACTGTGCGCCCCTCCCGGGGCGCGCTTGGAGGTGTCTGAAGGAAGGAGGAGGCAGGAGAGGCGGCGAGCGGCTGCGGCGGGCGGCGGTGGGCGGCGGCGCCAGTTTTGATAGCGCGCGGGCCCGCGCGGGCCCCCGTGCGGCTGGTCTGGCTGCGGGGGCCGGGGCCAAGGCTGGGCCGCGCGCCCACGCCGAGGCGGCGGTCGCGGCGGCGGCGGCGGCGGCGGCCGCCGGCCGCGGCGGCGGCCGCGACGAGGCACAGGGAGGGGGGATGAAGACGGGAGAAGTGGGGGAGGGGCGAGGCGGGATGCCGGGAGTGGAGATAAAGAGGGGGGGGGAGGAGGAGGAGAAGGATGTGGAGGAGGCGGGGGTGGAGGCGGACGGACAAGGAGGAGGATGAGGAGGATGAGGAGGATGAGGAGGATGAGGAGGATGAGGATGAAGATGCGGACGAGGAGGATGAGGATGAAGATGAGGAGGAGGAGGATGAGGAGGAGGAGGAGGAGGAGGAGGAGGAGGAGGAGGACCTCCTCCTCCTCGTCCTCCTCCCTTCCTGCTTTTCTTCTCTCCTCCTCATCCTCGTGCTCCTCCTTCTCCTTCTCCTCCTCCTCCTCGTCTTCCTCCTCCGCCTCCTCGTCCTGCTCCTCCGCCCTCCTTTCTCAAACCTGCTTGGGCTGGGGATCGTCGGCGGGGAATATCTTCGCACAGGCGGATCTTACGCGCGCTGGCCTGCTCGGGCCCGACCGGAGCGTGGCGCCGAGGCGGCAGGAAGCGACCGCAGCTTGCGCGCTCACCACCGCGGCGCGGCGCACTGGCTGTGCCGCACATTGGCGACGGCACATCTGCCGAAGTGGCCATCGTCATGGGCCATCTCGCCTCACGTCCGCCGTGCGCGCCAGAGCCGAGGCCACGTACGACCCAGGACTCGGCCAGCGCAGCTTTGACTGGTGGATACCGTGGTCGTCTCGGGATGCTCGGCGAGCACTTCGGTGGCGCTGACGGGCACTCTGAGTCCTGGTTCGCTGGCCCCGAAGATGCGTTGTTGCATGAGGGCGTGGTCAGCCCCGCGTGGAACGTGCCCGCTTTCGACGAGCAGCCTGCAAAGGCCCAGATGCGGGAGGGCGCGCCATCATGGCCTCGGCCCGTCGCTTGCTCCGCCGCTGGGCCTGGCATGTGAGCTCCTTCGAACCTTGGGCGTGGAGGCGCAGACGGCAGTCGACTACGGCGCCGCGTACCATCCGGCCGAGCACGGCTCCGGAGGCCACGTTGGCACCGCTCCCGGAGGAGGGGGGCGCCGGCCGCAGCCGCGACGCCAGCGGCAGCGCTCGTCGAAGAGCTGGGTCTGGCCGACGCCCCTCAGGAACCCACAGCAGAGTCAGAGCTGGCTAGCCCCAGGCCGGCAACATCGATGGCGAAACCGTTCGAGGATCTGGCGGCATGCAACCGCGTAGCGCTGCAGGCTGCCCTCGCGTGCCTCGAGACCCGCAGAACGATGGAACGAACCTTGTCTAGACAGGCGGCCTGCTTGGATCATAGGTCCAAGAGTTTATGTACTATAGCACGGGTCGTGATCCAATTCGCACGCATTCCACTTTACGCTGCTCCCTATGGAGGCCTCCACTTTTGAGATTTCCATGGGCGGGAACGTTGACGTTTCTTCAGCGTTGGCCGCCTTTGGCCACGTCTTTCGCCCCAATGCCGCAGCCAACCAGCATCCCTCTTCCCCCACCTGTTTCGCATCCTTTGGCTCTCGCTTTCAACAGCGACCGCTGCCTTGAGGCTTGCGTGTCGGGTGGGCCTGGTGCCCCATGGGAAGCTCGACCTCGGGGCCAGATGTCTCTCCTCGACTTGGGGGCTGGCGGTCCGAATGAGAGATGCATCTTTGCCCCTGGCCCACGGGATGTGAGCCTCGCATTTACGGCCTACAGGCTGTTGGCCACGGGGTCTGTGACGCCTTGTCTGCTTCCGCCGTCAGTGATGTGGCTGGGAACATACTCGAACCACACAGGCATGCTGAGCCGGGCAGCCTGGGCAGCAACGGCCATGTAGATGCCGCTCAGATCGGCGATCTGCGAGTCGCTCATGACGAACCCAGACAGAGCTGATAGGCTGTCAATGCAAAAGGTTGCTGCGTGGTCAACCAGGAATGAAGGAGCCTTGCGAAACAACATCACGACAACCATCGCCTCTGCCACGACGATATGCGTCGAACGCTCAAGATCTCGCTCCCAGAAGGTGGAATGTCGTACGCCCGGCCCAATCTCGCGCCCGACGGCAAAGACAAAAACCAAGACAGACGGGAGCGGTGGACACCCTCCTCGGCTCCTGCGGCGAAAAGACGCATCGGTCCAGACGGTCACGCGGGCAGCTTGCGAACCAGGTATGCGGTGCGCCTTGGACGTTGCCGTCTTCAACGCATCTTTGAAGTAGGCGAGTTGGGAAGACAAGACATTATCTGTGCGAGGATCCCCATCCCGGAGTGGGCCACTGATCCCACGGTCCGCGAAGGACGATCTGGCGTGGTTGAGCCTACCCCGAAGGCGCGCCAAGGAACGAACATGCCGGCCCGACTGGAGAGCAGCAATCTCTGCCAGAAGCTCTGCGATCCTGGGGGAGTCAAGGAAAGCGTACACCTTGCCATGTGTGTGTACGTACCTCTAGCCCTCGTGGCGGCCGAGGTGCCGCACCTCGGGAGACGGGGACTGGTGCTTGTCTGGGCCCATGAGCACGCCCAACTCCTTGAGCAAAAGGTGGAACAGATCGTCAGCTCCACCGTGTTGAACGTCGACCGTCTGGAAGTCGTCGTAGAGGTGCACGACAGGAATCGCCAGCAGTCGCCGTGCCACGGCCACAATCATGGCAGGGAGCGGTTGAACAACCATGCTGCCGCCCTCAGGCCGAATGCCAAATCACGGAGGTGGCCAAAGACCCACTCGCCCGCCGCTGGAGACCACGAGGCGACGACAGAAAGCGGGGAGTGGCTGTCCTGCACGGGGATCTGGCGGTACACCCTCTGCATGTCGCGCACCGCGCACACCAGTTGGACCGTCGGGTCGGCTGGCTGGCTGACGGCTTGATGCCCAATCATGTGGCTGCACGGCTTGGCTCACACGCAATGGATAGGAGGAAAGACGAGTAAGGCTGGGCAGCTCACCAGTGCTGAGGAACGCACACCCTTCAAAGTCTGATTTTGGGTGTGCCGGTCCATCAGCGGAGCCTCAGGCTAAACCCATTTTGGGCACGCTGGCGGGCCCCACACGGGTTCAGCCCGGGAGCGTGCAACGCCAAGACGGGACGCAAGGCGGCTCCCAGACAGCTCTCGGCGAGGAGGACGCAGCCCCGGACAAGGAGAGGCTTTCGGACACTCTTGCTTCACGACGGGGATGTCGGCTCCTTGCCCTTTCCCCGTCACCTCGAGAACGCACGCGGCGCGTGATATATGGGACCCCCGCCACGCAAGCCGTAACCAGCCAAGCGAGGGTAAGCATCATGCACGGGCTAAGATACCACACGAACCTGGGATATATATACAGCTCATGCACGAAAGCAGTATGGACTCTGGAGGGAGCCGAAACAGTTCGCACTTGTCACTATCCTCGTCAAACAACTTGATGTGCCACTCTGGTGGTGGCTCGGTGAGGTCTGAGGCTGCAGCCCAGTCATGGATAAAAAGAGGGTGCTCTTCCCAGGCGTCTTTGGCCACGATAAACACATTTGAGACACAAGTTGGAGCCCCAAGTCTTAAACTTGACTCGTGCGGGCAAACATTCGCAGAAACTCTGACGGAACAACAAAAACTCCCTTCACCTCCTCAAACTCCTCCTCCTCCTCCTCCTCCTCCTTCTTCTATTCCTCCTCCTCCCAACCCTCCTCTTCTTTCTCCGCCTCCTCCTCCTAGGCCCGTAGCTGCGCGCCACATGTCCTCACGTCTGCCGCCGCCCTCTACAGAGCGACATCTTCACCTGTGGCACCAGCTTTCTCCTCCTCCTCTTCCCCGCCCTCCTACTTCTCCTCCCGCTCCCTCTCCTCCCCTCCTGGAGGAGAACCACGAGGGCGCGGAGCGGGGCGCGGGGCGGTCACCGCCAGCCGCTCAGTCCAGCACCATCAGCTTCCGGTTCGCCCGGCGCTCCCGCTGCAGTCGCCTTCTCTCCTCCTCCTTCGGGCGAGCAAGCGAGGGAGGGAAGGTGAGGCAGGAAGGGCTGGAGGAGGAGGAGGAGGAGGAGGAGGAGGAGGAGGAGGAGGGGGAGGGGGGTGAAGGGAGGACCAGGAGGGGGGAGGAAGAGGAGGAGGAGGAGGAGGAGGAGGAAGAGGAGGAGCAGGAGGAGGAGGAGGGGGAGGAGGAGGAGGAGGAGGAGGAAGGAGGAGGAGGAGGAGAAGGAGGAGGAGGAGGAGGAGGAGGAGGAGGAGAAGGAGGAGGAGGAGGAGGGAGAGGAGGAGAAGGAGGAGGAAGAGGAAGAGGACGAGGGGAAGGAGCAAGGAGGGATGCGCGGGACGAGGGGGGGAAGGATGATGGGGCAGAGGGGGGGGCCGAGGGAGAGGATGGGCAGAGGGAAGGGCGGGGGGAAGGGAGGAGAAGGGGGGGCAGGATGGGATGAGGGAGGGGGGAAGGAGGGGAGAATGGGGAGGGGGAGGGCAGGCGGAGGAGAAGAAGGGAGGGGGGATGAGTGAACGGGAGGGATGATGCTGCTGCTCCTGATGATTATGATTATGCTGCTGCTCCTGATGCTCCTGATGGTGATGATGGTAAGGGTGATGCTGCTGATGATGCTGGTGATGATGATGGTGATGATAATGGTGATGGTGATGCTGCTGCTGCTGTTACTGATGATGATGGTGATGATGGTGATGATGGTGGTGATGGTATTGCAGCTGCTGCTGTGATGGTGGTGATGCTGGTGATGATGCTGCTCATGATGATGATGCTCATGATGATGATGCTGCTGTTGGTGATACTGATGATGGTGATGGTGATGCTGATGAAGATGATGCTGATGCTGATGCTGATGATGACGATGACGATGATGATGCTGATGATGATGATGATGATGCTGATGATGATGATGATGCTGATGATGATGATGGTGATGGTGATGGTAATGGTAATGATGCTGCTGGTAGTGATGGTGGTGGTGAGGATGCCAAGGAGGAGGAGGAGTAGGAGGAGGAGGAGGAGGAGGAGGAGGAGGAGGAGGAGGAGGAGGAGGAGGACTGTCGAAGGACCCCCGTGCACTGCGGTCTGTAATGCCCCGCTCCTCGGGGCTCACCCCTGGAGCCTCCTCCACCGTCAGATCCTGCGTCGTGGCCCTCTTCAGCTCCGCCTGGGCCGCGGCCTGCTGCTCCTTGACCTTCTGCCTGCGATTCCACGGGGCCGACTCTGGAAACCCTGCATTCCCAAACAGGGGGAAGCGATTGAGAACCCCTAGGCATTATCGTTAACACCGAAACGAAAATGAATCATTCGCGGGGGCGGATTTCGCGGAGCGATATCTTTAGCACTGCACCAGACCGCAACAAAGAAATGATTATTCCCCGCCCCCGCGACCGACATCTATAGTAAGGGTTGACGGCAAGAACGCAAGAGCCTTGAACGCTGAAGATGCGGAAGGTTATGACTATAACGATAATTGAGCACTCCTTTCGCGCTGAACTTCTGCGGAGCTGAACTCATTGCTCCTCCTTCTCCTCCTCCTCCTCCTCCTCCTCCTCCTCCCTCTCCTCCTCCCTCGCCTCCTCCTCCTCCTCCTCCTCCTCCTCCTCCTCCTCAGGGTGCCAGGATCACGCTTCAGGGTGCTGCGTGCGCCAGCGCTTCCCTCGCCAAGTGCGGGCGCGCCACGCTCTGACTTCCGCAGGCCCTCCGCCGGCGCACTGCTGCCGCTGGCCTCCCAAGCCGAGGGCGAGACGACGACGGTGCCGGCGCCGACGCCGCCGACGCCGACGCCGTCGGCGGGGCCGATCCTGGGCTGGCGTTGCTCCCGGGGCCCCGCCTGCGCTCCCGCATGGCCCTGCGCTTCTCCTCCTCCTCGGCGGCCTTCGTCCGCCGCTCCTCGGCCTCCGCCTCTCGCCTCGCCTTCTCCTCTCGGCTACACTCGAGCAGAGGATCGGCTGCAGATCGACTGCAGAATTGGTTAACCCCAGAATTGAGTTTCTCGTCGAAGCTGGGAGACAGATACTTAGGAAAGTCAGTAGATCTACGGATCACTGTGGGTATGTTTCGTAGAGATCGACGGAAAAGCAATTTTAGGGTACATCGATTCTGTAGTCGATCCTCCACTCGATACATGCAGGAGTGACTCTGGGTAAGAGTGATCTCTGGTGCGCAACTTTGGAGAGGTGCGGGGGGGGGGGGGCCAAACCCAAGCGCGCAAGCCGCTGCTATCGCATAGCTTTCAGCGATCGGGGAACCCGAGTCGGCCCGCACCAGAAGTCGGCGGCGAGCGAGGAGGGGAAGTGAGAAGGAGAACACCTTGCGGGCTTCAGAGAGGTTGTCTGTGTCGTCGGAGAAGGCTTAGAGAGCTTCTCAGCAGGCTGGGGGACTTCCGAGCCTTCTGAGAAGGCCTGCCCCTTCTCACTTCACCCCTGGGCTCGCCGCCGAAGAAGGCCACCCAGGCAAAGGTGACTACCTACCAGACCACCCCAACCCAACCCGAAGACCCGAATTTCGGGTTGGGGGGGGGTACGGGTTCCATGTGTTTTTTCGACGTTCCCCGACCCCCCCCCACTGGAAATCGAGGATAAATTGAGGCCTTCGGGTTGGGTTGGGGTGGTTTGGTGGGTGGTGAAAAGGTTCACTCTCAAGGCGTGCAGTCGACGTCCTCCGCCTCAGCCCTCGCCTTCTCCTGCAGCGGGGACGCCCACCGCCCGTGTGCACCGATCCCGGCCGGGGCCGGTCCCTGGGCCCCTCGATCCGTGGACGTGCCCTCCCGGGCCGCAGCACGGTAGGTTTAGGTCAGGCGTGTCCCCCTACAGGCGGATTCTGTGCGAAACATAGAAAACACCCTCAACAGATTCAAGCACAGTCGAACAAACGAAAATCGTCCCCAGACTATTTTTGACTGTTTTCGAACTTTCCCCCTGTAGAGGGACATGCCCGACTTCACGGTAGGTTCGTGCCATGACGACTCTGGCACTGTCTCTGACTCGAGGCGGATCGTGCGATCTGGAACGCCCGCGGCGAGGTCACCGCCGCGCCGCCGCAGCACGGACCCACCGTATACCCAGACCTCCGACCCGGACATCCTCCACTGTGCTTGCTCAGCCCGCGGCCTCAGAGCTGCCCAACTTTTGCTCAGGGGCAGATCTTCGTTCCGGATCCACTTTTTTGCGGGCTTCGGGTCCGAGAACGGCCGTCGAAGGCCGAAGCCGAGGACAGCCCGCTGGTTGAAAACACCATCCGGCGGCGAGCGAGGAAGGGAAATGAGAAGAAGGAGGCCTTCTCAGAAGGCTCGGAAGTCCCCCGGCCTGCCGAGAAGTTTTCTAAGCCTTCCCAGAAAACACAAACAACCTCTCAGAAGGCGCGAGGGCGTCTGAGAAGTCCCGCCGCCTTCTGAGAAGGCCTTGTCCTTCTCACTTCCCCCCCTCGCTCGCCGTGGAACCATTTCGTCAGAGATCTGGTGACGTCGTGGTCCTTTGACGGCGTGCGGCCCCCAGAGCTCCCGCGCCCATCCCAGTGGGGAGCGGCCCGTCGTCGCGTACCGTTTGCTTTCTGTCAGAGGGGGAGGGGGAGGGGAAGGGGGAGGAGGATGAGGATGAGGATGACGATGAGGATGAGGTTGATGATTATGATGATGATGATGATGATGATGATGATGATGATGATGATGATGATGATGATGATGATGATGATGATGATGATGATGATGATTAATGATGGTGATGGTGATGATGATTATGATGCTGATGAGGGTGATGAGAATGATGGTGATGGTGATGCTGATGAAGATGATGCTGATGCTGATGCTGATGCTGATGTCGCGGCTGCTGCTGCTGCTTATGAGGATGATAATGCTGCTGCTGCTGCTGCTGCTGCTGCTGCTGCTGCTGATGATGATGATGATGATGATGATGATGATGATGATGATGATGATGATGATGATGATGATGATGATGATGATGATGAGGAAGATGGGCAGGAGGAGGAAGGAAGGGGAGGGAGCAAGAGGAGGAGGAGGATCAGCAGGAGGAGGGGGAGGGAGCAAGAGGAGGAGGATCAGCAGGAGGAGGAACAGGAGCCCTGCAGGCACCCACAGGTGGCCTCTCTGCGAGGCCCAGGTCGAGCCCCTGCCGACGCCCCCAAAGGGGCCCTGGCCCCGGCGCCTTGGCTGCGTGCACGGGCCCTGAGCCCGTGGACCGGCCTGGCCAGGCGGGGCGCCGGCAGCAGGCGTCCCCTGGGGCCTCGGGCGTGAGCTTCTTCTTCTCCTCCCTCTGCGCCTTCCTGTGCTGCCCCTCCTGGCGGCCGCCCAACAGCCGCCCCGAAGCGCAGGTCGGCCAGATCGACCCCAGAATTCCTACGTCGTGAATTTTCCAATACCCATTCTTCTTCTCTCCTCCTCCTCCTCCTCCTCTCCTCCTCTCCTCCTCCTCCTCCTCCTCTCCTCCTCCTCCTCCTCCTCCTCCTCCTCCTCCTCCTCCTCCTCTCCTCCTCCCTCCCCTCCGTAGCCATTTTGGCTCAAGATGGGTTGCTCGGGGGGCTTTCAGCCTCCGTGCTTCACTGGATCGCACTACCGTGCGCAGGCAAGAGTGTGTGCACTCTGGCAGTCGGGCGGCCTCCTTCCAAACTCACGCGCGCCATGGCGGGGAGCGGCGGCGTGGGTGCTGGGCGTGGGGGAGGCGGCCGCGCGGCGTGGCCTGCGAAGTGGAAGTGCTCGGTGTGCGACTACTACAACTTCGCCGAGAGGGCGTGCTGTCGCAAGGGGTGCCAAGCTGCGGGGTGGCCAGCGCCGCGGCAGCTGGGCGCCGTTCCTCCGCTGCGGGGGTGGCCTGCAGGCGGCGGCGGTGGTGGTGCTCCTGGCGGCGCTGGCGGCGGGCGCGGCGGGCGTGGGGCAGGCGGCGGCAAGCCTCCCACACGTGCCCCGTGGTGGCGAGGCGGAGAAGGTGGCGGCCGTGACGCTGGTGGCGCCGTGGAGCTCAGCGAGGAGCAGCGCAGTGGCTTCGTGTGCATGGCAGAGGCCGACTTCGCCCTCACCGCCGCGCTCCTGGCCCCGAAGGTCCGCGAGCAGCTTCTGCAGGCACGGAGGCTGCGTGAGGGCGGACTGGGGGCCGAGCTGTCCAAGGACAAGACGGTCAAGGCGGCCCAGGTGCAGGCGGACGCCAAGGTCTTGCAGGTCAAGAAGTTGGAGGGCCAGCTGGAGCAGGCAAAGGCCAAGGCGGTGGCGGCCATCAACGAGTCGGCCAGCCTCGCGGACAAGTTGGTGCTGCTGCGGAAGGAGTGCGACGAGGCGGCGGCCAAGGCACGCGAGGCGCTGGCGGCTCAGCGCACCAGGGTGGCGGCCGAGGAGGCTGAGGCGGCGGCAGCAGCCGCCGAGCCGAGAGCAGCACCAGCAGCCTCCCTGGAGTCGATACAGGAGGCGATCGGCGGCTTGTCGAGGGACGAGATCGCGAAGCTCGGGAAGGTGCTTGCGGAGCTCAGCGGCATGCCAGGCGCCGCCGCCGCAGCGTGGGCGCCTCCCCGTGCGCCTGTGGCAGCGGCGGTCCCTGTGCCCTCGGCGGTGCCAGCAGCAGCGCAGCAGGTGGACGCTCCCAAGGAGGAGGGGCCTGGCGTGTCGCAGGCGGCGCAGCAAGCGTGGCAGGACATCACGTGCGGGATTGAGGACCCCGCCAAGAGGGAAGCAGCGGAGCAGTTGCTGGGCGACGCCAAGAAGATGCGGACGGAGGTCAAGCAGATGGAGGAGGAGTCCTAGCAAGAAGTGTGGGGTCTGGAGGATCTGCACGGTCAACGTCAATGCGTTCAGCAACCTGGGAAAGTGCATGGCGGTGAGTGAGGTGCAGGACTGCGACGCCATACTAGTCCAGGAGACGAGGCTCCTGGAGGGAAGGAGCAGTGATGCGGAGGCGCAGCTCCGCAGCCAAGGGTGGCGGGCGAGAGGCACGCCTGCAGTGCCGTCAGCGGCAGGAGGCCTCAGCACAGGAGGCCTCCGCACCATGGCGAGGAGGAGCCATGGCATGGCGGAGGTGCAGGACCAGCAGGCAGCGGTGCTGGTGGCAGGGCGAGTGCACCTGTGTTGGGTGTCAGGCGTGCTGAGCAGCGGCTTCTTGCTCGCCAACCTCTACCTGGAGGCGGGGGTCGGCCTCAACGATGGCAACGTGGCCAGCCTCAGGAGGCTGGCAAGGAGGTTGAGGCAGTGCCGCAGGGACTTCGTGGTGGGCGGCGATTGGGACCTCACGGAGGAAGAGTTGCAGGCAGGCGGGGTGCCCGACATGTTCGACGGCAAGGTGGTCAGGCCCGCCTCGCCCACGTGTGCAGCGTCGGGGAGGACCATCGACTTCATCCTGGTGTCCAGGGGGCTGGCTGCGCTGGGTGTGCGGGTGGTGGAGGCCTCGCCAGTGTACCCGCACTCGGCGGTGATCCTCGAGATCCGCAGGCAGCAAGAGGAGGAGCGCTTCAGGCTGGTCCAGAAGCCGCGGACCTTTCCTGAGGTTCGGCCGCAAGGGTGTTGTGAGAGAGACCACGGCAGCAGCTGGAGGCAAGCCAGGATGAGGGTGCAGGAGCAGCTCGCGTCGGTGCTGAGGTTCGAGGGTGAGGCCGCAGCGAGGAGCACCCCACGTGCTGGGGAGGAGGCCCCTCAGCCCAGCAGCAGTGGTGGCGCAGCAGGTCAGCGCACAGCTAGAGCTGGCCAGGAGATTCCCAGGCCAGTGAGGGGCAAGGGAGCTGAAGGGGTGTCTGCGGCGGAGAGATGGGGACCACTAAGCAGCGTGCTCCCGATCGCACCTGCGCCGCCGTCCTGCGTGACGGACGTGAATCTGATGAGGTGCTGCGTCCAGCATGGCGAGGAGTGGCAGAGCATCCTCGACAGCTGCGGGCTACGGCGAGAAGTTGGCGCGGAAGGGCTCGGCGCTGCACCGGGCGTTGAGGACCAGCCAGCGCACCTCGGGGCCCTGGCGCCAGGAGCGCAGGGCACCGACGCAGCGGAGAGAGGGGGCAGCAGCGCCGCGGGCAGCGCTGTGCAGGAGGCGCAGGCGGACATCCCTCCCCATGCTGGGACTGGCAGTGCACCTCCGAGCCAGGCACCGTACGGAATCGCGGGTTGTCCCTTTCAGGTTGATGCGGCTGAAGGAGTGCACGTGAGGCCCCCCAGCCTCTGGGTCGAGAAGAGGCAGGCAGCCTCTGCCGCTGAAGAGGAGGCCCCTCAGCCCAGCAGCAGCGGTGGCGCAGCAGGTCAGCGCGCAGCTGGAGCAGGCCAGGAGCTTCCCAGCCCAGTGAGGGGCAAGGAAGCTGAGGAGGTGCCTACGGCGGAGAGATGGGGACCCCTAGGCAGAGTGCTCCCGATCGCACCTGCGCCGCCATCCTGCGTGACGGACGAGAAGCTGATGAGGTGCCGCGCCCAGCATGGCGTGGAGTGGCAGAGCATCCTCGACAGCTGCGGGCTACGGCAGGAAGCTGGCGATGAAGGGTACGGCGCAGCGCCACGCGGCGAGGTCCAGCCAGCGCACCTCGGAGCTCAGGCGCCAGGAGCGCATGACGCCGACGCAGCGGAGAGAGGGGGCAGCAGCGCCGCGGGCAGCGCTGCGCAGGAGGAGCAGGCGGACAGTCCTCCCCATGCTGGGACTGGCAGTGCACATCCGAGCCAGGCACCGTACGGAAACGCGGGTAGTCCCTTTCAGGTTGAAGCGGATGAAGGAGTGCACGTGAGGCCCCCCAGCCTCTGGGTCGAGAAGAGGCAGGCAGCCTCTGCCGCTGAAGAGGAGGCCCCTCAGCCCAGCAGCAGCGGTGGCGCAGCGGGTCAGCGCGCAGCTGGAGCAGGCCAGGAGCTTCCCAGCCCAGTGAGGGGCAAGGAAGCTGAGGAGGTGCCTACGGCGGAGAGATGGGGACCCCTAGGCAGAGTGCTCCCGATCGCACCTGCGCCGCCATCCTGCGTGACGGACGAGAAGCTGATGAGGTGCCGCGCCCAGCATGGCGTGGAGTGGCAGAGCATCCTCGACAGCTGCGGGCTACGGCAGGAAGCTGGCGATGAAGGGTACGGCGCAGCGCCACGCGGCGAGGTCCAGCCAGCGCACCTCGGAGCTCAGGCGCCAGGAGCGCATGACGCCGACGCAGCGGAGAGAGGGGGCAGCAGCGCCGCGGGCAGCGCTGCGCAGGAGGAGCAGGCGGACAGTCCTCCCCATGCTGGGACTGGCAGTGCACATCCGAGCCAGGCACCGTACGGAAACGCGGGTAGTCCCTTTCAGGTTGAAGCGGCTGAAGGAGTGCACGTGAGGCCCCCCAGCCTCTGGGTCGAGAAGAGGCAGGCAGCCTCTTCGGCGGGGCAAGCCCAGCGCCTGCAGCAGGACGGGCAGGCCCAGGGCGCGGCGGCGGAGGGGGCTAAGGGAGCCCTCACAGCCGCCTTCGCCACCTTCCTGGAGTGCGCGGAGGACGAGTGGGTCGACGTATACCAGCTGGAGGAGCAGAGGGCCAGGTACGTTGGCAGAGCGGACGGCTTCTCCACCAAGCTGGTCAAGCGCAGCGGGGTGCAGGGCCCCAGGTCGCCGAGGCTCACGCCAGAGGCAGCGTGGATGGCCAGGGTGGCCAACGCGCTGGGAGCCATGGCGCAGCTGAAAGCGCCCAGGGCCAGGGTCGACGCGATCTGCTACTTGCCCCAGCTGGTGGCGGCGGTCCCGAAGAGAGTCAGGAAGCTGCAGCAGGACGAGGAGGCCCGCCCAGGAGAGGGAGGCGGCACCTCCTGCAGCACGGAGGCTGGGCGCTGGCTGAGGATGTTGCAGCATGGAGGCCTGGCGTGCTGGCACCCCCTCCTACTCGAGAGGCTGGCCGACCGCGCGAAGCAGCACGCCAGTCACCTCGCCAAGCGCGACGTCGACGAGAGGGGCAGGCAGTTCGACGAGTGGGTTGGCAAGCAGCTCACAGGAGGAGCGGCAGGGCTCCACGCGGTCACGCGAGTGGCGGTGGGTTGGCAGGGCAGCGACTGCAGCATCGGTGCTGGACCCAGCAGCCTGAGCAAGGAGCTGGACGACCTCGAGAAGGAGTGGAGCAAGATCTGGAAGGTGCAGTGCAGCCACGCCGAGCTGGAGTGGCCGTCCGATCTCGGTGAGCGCCCCCCCAGGCCCAGCTGCGAGGTGATGCGGGCAGTCCTGAGGTCCTTCAGGAAGGGCACGGCCACGGGATTCGAGGCGATCAAGCCGAGACAGCTGCTGGAGCTCAGCGACGAGGGGATAGAGACTCTCATCGACATCGTGGTGGCGGTCGAGCAGGCTGCGGAGTGGCCGCAGATCCAGAGCAAGATCGTGTTCTTGGCCAA